TAGGTTTCCAAATACCCAAAATGAAATGGTGGGGCAAGTACTGGATAACTGTTATAGATGCTCCCATTCAAAACGACAGGGAGGGGAAAGGAGGAACACAGTAGTCACTGGCCCAGATCAGTAGTGAAATCCAGCCAGGCACATGACAGTTCCTCGATTAAAGTTAAGCCCTACTCCCTGGAAGTTACTCTCCTTGGCTTGCAGCTCATCTCAGTGACTTTTTGTTCGTTCTGTCTGAGTTCACCTTCCTTTTCACTAAACCTTCTTACACCAATTTTCTGCTTCTAAAGGTTTCAGGGTTCTAACCCTTTCCCATATTGTGCTGTTTCTTTTCCTTTTATTACAATCTGATACAATTTAACAATTTTGGTGGGCTTTGTGTGTATATTGATTTTCAATTCACTCCATCAGACAAAAGCTGTAACAACAAATCTTTTCCAGCTAAGCCATGCTTTTCCTTGACCTTGCTGTGACACTGCTGTGGGACAACATCCTTAATTCTTGTAAGCCTTATTGTATAATGGAGAGGACTGTAAATGCACCATTATGATCTTTACGACTTTTGTCTATTTGAAAGGTTCTATGAAGAACCATCTCAGATCTCTCTGGGATTTTAATAATGGATTTTATAGTACAATTGATCTTCTCCCTTAAGCCAGTTCTTAGTGTGAGTATCATTTGCCAAGTAGAGAATTTTGGAAAGGGAAACAGATTTAGTTTGAAACTATGAAAATTTTGAATCCTCTATATTTGAGGGTTCTTTTTAGTTCATTCATCTCTTCTCACATTATATCATAGGCAATAAAAAGAAGCCAGGTGACACTTCCAGTATTCTGCCTGAAAATTCCCTTAGCTTGATCATTGAGTCCACTGGAACATTTCCTATCTTCCACGTTCCTTCAGGTAATAGTGTTGCCCAAATTTCCATCACTACAAACACTGACCAATCACATTTTCCTTATTTCCCATTGAGCTTTAGAGACAGACTCCTCAAGATTCTTTAAGTTTTTGCTAACATTTTGCTAAGCTTTCTGGCTTCTTCTTATGGCCTATTTACAATGCCAAGGCTACATGTTTTAGGGTTTTAATAGCAACATCTACTTTGAGATACTGAAATCCATGTGAATTTTCTATTATTCTATTAAAAAAAAAACTATCCCAATTAGTTACTTGAAACAACTGCAATTTCCTTTGCTCATAATTCTGCAATCTCAGCAGAGTTTGGTGTGGATAGCCAGTTTAGATTCCAGATGTCAAAATGGCTCACTTAAATGGCTGACACAATAATCCTAGTGATTGGCTGGGAACTTAGCTGAGGCTTGGGGACCTCAGTCCCTCTCCATATAGGCCTCTCCACAGGCTGCATGAATTTATTCATTCTTGGGGGTTGGGTTCAAAAGCAAGTAACTCAAGGGAAGCCAAAATGGTATTACCTGATTTTATCACCTACAAATCATTTCCACTATAATCAGGTCTATCCAGATTTAAAGGGAAGGTATGTAGTTTCCCAGCTTTCAGGGCCAGAAATATCAAGTAACATTTGAAGAGCAGAATATAGGAGCCATTTTTGGAAAATAAAATTTGCCCATATGAGAAGACATGAATGGCTTTGAATCCCATTAGTAATGTGACCTGATTTTTGTTGAAGAAGACCACTGACTACCATGTAAAAGACAGACTAATGTGTGTTAAGAATGGAAAAAGGGAAATTATTGAAGTGGTTATTTCTGTAGTTTAGGAAAGATATAATGACAGTTTGCACTAAGGAGCAGAAACAGAGATAAAGAAAAGTTTGGAAATACATAGTAGAGGTATATTCAGTGGAAAAAGATTAGTTGCAGTCATTGAAAGTAAGGAATCAAATTTTTCTTCTAAATTTTGTGCTGGAGAAATTGTGTGAATTGTAATCCTATTTAGAGAGATGAGCAAGACTAGGGAATAAATAAGTTTTCTGTTCTTTTTTTTTTTTGAGGGAGAAAAGATCAAGAGCTCAGCTTTGTATGTTAAGTTTGAGTTATTAAATATCCAAGTGTCAATATTAAGTAGGCTATTTCATATATAAGCCCAGAATCAAGAGGACCCAGAGGAGACATCAGAAATAGAAATGTAATGTGGTAGGGAGAAGACACCATCCATGTATCAAATGCCATGGTTTGAATGATGCCGTGATGAAATAAAGCAAGTAAACAGCATATGTATAGAAAAGAATGGACATCCCAGGATCCTGGAACATTGTGATATCAGGCTGTTGGTCACAGAAATAGGAGCCAAAGAAAGAGAATTAGGAGCATCTAGCGAAGGTGGGGGAAATCCAAACTGCCTATTTATTGCAGAAGTCCAATACTTCTATTTCAGTTACTATTGCTGTACAATGAAAACTAAACTCTAAAACAGGCTGCTACTTTTTTTCCTCTTTCTATGACTCTGCATCCTGAGCAAGGCTCTACTCCACTCCTTTTTACAAAGTATAAGCTGGGGTAGTCTGGGCAACAAGATAAAATCACGTGAAAGTTTGCTCTCTCACTCATATGTTTGGTGCCTATACTAGAAAGACTCACAGTTGGGTGTTGGAAGAACTGGAGGTCCTAGAGCATCTTTCTCTGTCATGTAGTTTCTCCATGTAATCACTTCAGAATGGTGGCTTGAGGGTAACTGGACTTCTTACATCAGCTCAGGGCTCACAGATGTGTGTCACAAGAGAGGGCCAGGTGGAAGCCACATCACCTTTTACCTTGCTCACAAGCCATGCAACATTAAATCCACCACCTTTTTATTGGTCAACACCCTTTCAGAGATCCACTGAAGTTCAAGGGGAGGAAACACAGACCCCCATCTCTCAATGGAAGGGAGGAAACATAGACTCCATCATTCAGTGCCACTTTGTTGGAAGAGCATGTGAGAAATATATGCGCAGCCGTCTTTGGAAAATAAAATCTGTCACAATAAGCAATTAAGTAAGGTCAGCATTATTGGATCCCATGAAGATTGAGCCTATAGGAGTGAGCGCTGGATGAGGCAACTGTTAGAAGTCACTGATAAGCGTAGGGTGAGCAATGGCAGAGGAAGTAAAGGAATGAAAATCATACTGGGGAAAGGTAAAAAAAGGTATATAGAGAGAAAGTGAGAATGCTGACTCTAGAAGACCTTTTGGAGAAAGTTTGCCATTGAAGGGGCCTACAAAATACAATAGAAGCTAGAAAGATACATAGGTTCGAAGAAAGTCTTTTTTAAAAGACAGGAAATATTTGTATGCTGATGGAATGTGATTTAGGAGAGATATTTATAATGGAGAGAAAAAAATGGAGGGAAGAACACTTAATCTTTTAAAAGGAAAGAGAGCCAGAGGTTCAGAGTATGGTTAGAAGGACCTGGACTTTTATGGGAGAGTTGACTCCATCCATAGCTTCGTGAGGGATCGGGTGTAACTAAAGATGCACTATTTATTAGTAAAACAAATCATGGTTTGGTGAATATGGTGAAATTGAAAACCCAGCCAAAGAAATTAGTAATATCATTTGATTCATGTATTTTTTAAGTTTAAAATTAAGGTAATAGCCATTGTAGGCAAAATCACACAATTATTCCTTCAACTTAACCATGTCTCTCTCTACCTAATGATCTGAAACAAAACTCTGCTCTTCTCCAATTTAACTCATCTTCAGTCCACTGACTTGTTAGTTCCTGCATTTCTGCAATATTTTATCTGAAAGAATATTAATTGGAAGTCACCCAAGTTAGGTTTTGGTCTTTGGTCTGTACTGATTCAGTTAGTGTTGACAACTCAGTTTTGTTGGTCTTCAGTTTCTTTTGTAAAGGCATTTTAGTCTACATGATAATGGTGATGAAAATAGCATCTCACATTTCATATAACAGTGGACGATTTTAACACTTGTATAGATACATCTTTTTGTTCTAAAATATGCTTTAGGAGATGGTATAATTTAAGATAACACTAAATTCATACTTATTAATACTTTATATTTTAACCTCATATACAAGATTTTTTTTAACAATATGACTGTAATGAATCTTGTGGTTTATGTGTGAATGTGTGAGTGTTTAACTTCCACCATTAGGTTGTAAGCTTCATAAAACTAGAAAAGCTTGCCTCCTCTCTCACTCTCTTTTTATCTTTAAAGTCCTGAAAGCCCATAGCAAACTCATAATATATCCTTGTAATGAAGGCAATGTGTCAATATAGAGTTTAAGTTTTGATAATGATGTCAGTTTGTTTACGTCCAGTACTCTACTATTTGAAAAACACTAAGTTAGTTCATGCTAACAACAATATAAGATAGGTATCATTTCCACAGAAATTGAAACTAAGTACAGAGTGGTTAAATAAGATCAAACAGCTAGCAATTCAAGATGCAAAGTCCGTGATCTTAACCACTAATCTAACTCTCTGATGATGATAAAGTTAATGATGGTGTTGATTAAGAAAATGATGAGAATTGTGTAGTTGAGAGTTAATTAAATAAATGAGGTTTAAGTCTAAGAATTAAATGCTTAAAGCAAGGTAAAAGTTATGCAGAGGGACTTAGCTTGCAAGTGGACAAGTATCTCCACTACAAAGAGAGAGTGACAGAGCACAAGACTAGGTAACAAGTTGTCTGAAATAAAGGTGTGAAATACAATCTCTTTTATGATAATAATCATGTATTACCAATCAAAATTTGATCATAGAACAAAATCAACCTCTTTGATTATGGATCCATAAGGAAAACACATTTAATCCATATTTCTAACAAGACCCGCAGTTAAGCTGAATTGATGCACTCTCTCTCTCTCTCTCTCTCTCTCTCTCTATATATATATATATATATACACACACACACACATACACATATACTGACTAATAAAAATATTAGAATATTAGTATATATAAAGAGATTTATTATAAGGAATTGGCTTCCACAATTAGGAGGGCTGAGAAGTCTCAATGTCTTCAGTCAGCAAGCTAGAGACCAAGGAGGGGGTGAGTAGTTCCAGTCTGAGACCAAAGGGCTGAAAACCAGGATTGCTGATAGTTTAAGGTCCAGTCCAAAAGCTGGTAGTTTTGAGACCAAAGAAGAGCCTGTCTTTCAGTCTGAGTCCTAAGGCCAGAAAAGAACAATGTCCCACTCAGTCAGGCAAGAGGTACTCAGGAATTACCCTCTTACTCAGCCTTTTTTTCCATTCAAGACTTCAACTGATTGAATAAAGCCCACCCACGCTAGGGAGGGCTATCTGTTGTATTCAGTCTACTGACTCAAATGTTGATCTCATTCAGAAACATCCTCATGAGATACTAAGAATAATGTTTTGCGAAATACCTGGGCACAATAATATGATGATTTCATTAAAAATAATACACAGTGATATTTTCACTAATCATCTTGTAAATATGAAGCAAATATACAGATATTTACTAATTATTAAGGTAACTTTTGCATATACTTGAATGCATAGATATGAAGTATATAGTTCGATGAGTTTTGATAAATTTATAAAGCTGTGACATCATCATCATGGCAAAGAAAAAGAACATTTCCAACATTCCTGAAAGTTCACTTGGGCTCTTTCCCAATCAATCTCCCCGCTCCTGAGTAATGACTTTTCTAATTTCTATCATCACGGATCTACTTTGCTTGTTTTTGGACTTCATGAAAATATGTAGTATGCACTTTTTGTGAATGGCTTCTTTCATTTAACATAATGTTCTTGAGATTCATTTATGTAGTGGTGTACTTTAAAAGTCCATTCTTCTTTATTACTAAATAGCATTTCACTGTCAGAATATGTGGCATTTATTTATCCATTTATGAATGGATAGACATTGTATTGTTATAGTTTGGGCCCTTATGTAAAAAGCTGCTTTGAACCTTTTCGTACAAGGCTTTTGTGGACACATGTTTACATAATTCTTGTTTAAGTAAGGAGGAGTGGAATTGCTAGGTCATAGGCTAGAGATATGTTTACTTTAAATGTAAAACAGCAAAGTAGTTCATCCATTTTAAACATCCACCAGCAATACATGAGAATTCCAGACACTCCACATCTTCACCAAAATTTGATGCTGTATTTCTAATATTAGCAATTTGACTAGGTGTGAAATAATCTCATTGTAGTTAAACGATTACATTCTTAATAAGCTAAATAAATGTGCTGACCCATTTGATTGTCAAAAAAACAGAAGTAGCAGCACCTAGTGGCAAATTCTCCAACTATAAATGGGAGGCTTTTGAATAAAGCATAAAGATCTTGAATAGTTAACCTGAAAATATTAAATAGTGATGAATTCACTGATAACAGACATATCTAGGGGCTTCAAAATAATAAATCATTTCTTCTATCTTCTTTCCTTCTCTTCTTCCTTTTTCTTTCTTTTTTGTAGAATTTGCACTTAATCTCATATTGACTAACTTGCATGATTAAGGAAATAAAAGATTTTGAATTCCATTGTCCTTATTAATTGAAAGCAATAATTTGGATTAAAACTTTGGATATTGGACATAAAAATATTTATCTGGACCCCTTGAAAAATAGGAAGATCTGATTGGAATGGTACTATATTCACACCAGAAATCAATTGAAGGTGGGTAATGACTTCCACCTGCAGATGACCAGCATACCCTTGCCTTTACTTGCCTTAAGCACCCCATTTCCTCATATTGCTTCATTAATTTGTTATATATGTAGTCCGTAAGAGCATTTGAATGTGAGACCCTCATCTAGAGCATATCTCATATTTTACAGACAACTGAGTCTTAGAGATATTATCATAATTATTATTACTAATACTTACATCATTTTTACTATATGCCAGGCACTATTCTACGTGATCAATATGTACTTGTATGTACTTCCTTATTCCTCAAAGTAGCCCCATAGGGTTGTATTTTTATTATGCTCATATTAAAGTTAAGGAAACTGACTGGCAAATAACCTGTTTTGTTTTTGTTTTTTCAGCCCAGAAGTTTCTCCATCTTCCTCTTCCATCAGCCCCATCCCTCCTTGTTGACCACAGGGATGTGCATATGACTCAGGCTTTTCAGGCCCGGTGAATGGGACTAGCATACAGGAAGGAGCACGTGACCCAGGAGCTACAGTTCTATCCAGGCAATGGTTTCCCAGTGCAGGTGGAGAGCAGCTTTCCTTCTGCTTCCTCCTAGGATTCTAAGTAGGCCAATCTGAATTTGCTGCTGCAGTGATCATTTTCCCTCAGAGTAGAGGAGGTCTATCTGCAGGATGTAACCAAACGGACTATAGAAAAAGCGAAGACTAAGAAGGTGGGGATAGGGGAAAGTAATGGAAAGCACTTTAGTTTTGCTTAAGCTAGTTCATTTTGGAATTTGGCCATTGGTTACTTCACTATCCTGATTAATACAGTAGGAAATCAGACAAGCTGAGACTCCTAGGAAAGCAGCTGACCGTCCTAAAGTTAAACTGGTATAAAGCTGAAAAATCTAATTATTAGCCAAATACAGAGACCTACAAAGATCCACTTTAGGAGATTCAGGACTGGGGCCCAGATCCAGGAATTCAACAGAAGGACCACATAAACTCTGAATCCAGGCACCATAGCAAGAAGAGGATGCAGCCCCTGTGGCAGTAACCAATACTGGTCATGGCTTGAGATCACAGTTAGCATGTCCCTGAGACATTAGTATGGAGAGATAAAAAAAGCCCATGGATTTTAAAAATCTGAGCAACAAGAGGCTTCTTTCACTTCCATCTAGGAATACCACAGCAAGTCCATCTTAAGAGAAGCTGGAAGGATCTGGATTTGCACTAAGCTTCTACAGTTCACTTCTCGGTGAAGACGTCGCACTGCCAGTACACACCGGTATGTATGTCTGAGAAATAGCTGAAACAGGTAACAGCCTCTTACATACTAACATATCCTCAAGACTGCATATATTCAAAAAATAAAAACAAAAGGAACCATCTTTGACCTTCAGCTTGATGTTTTAAAAAAATTTTCAAGAGTAATAGGTAAACCAGTTGAAAATAAACATCAAACGCCCCTGAACTGGTCTCATTATGGCAAATTCACTGATTGTGGATATGGTATAAGAACTATACTGTTATACTGTACTCACTTAACTTCCAAGGTGATGAGATGTTTCCAGACTTACCTTTCTTTCATTGATGTTAATAGTCATACAGAGATCCTCTAAAAGCCTGATATTGCCTCTTAACTCCCTTTTCTTGTTTTGGTTTATTCGATTTTGCAACCAATGTCTATTTTAGTTACCTTCCATACATACAATAATTGGGTCATCATCAGTCCTGACTCCTTACCAGTTCAAGAGGGGAAGAGGACTGAGGAAATTTGAATATGGACTTGGAAATAAAAAAGCTAAGAACAGTACAAAAACTGGATTTGGGACTGACAATTAGCTAATAAGAAAACTTCCCCTTTTTCAGATAAAGCTAAAGAATCTTAAGAAAGGAAAAACAAAAAGCACTCAAATGAGACTATGCAGTGAAGGCAGCCAGAGAGACAATTCCCGCTTTTTATTTCAAAATAAGCAAACTGAATAGAAATTCCAGCTGAACACTGTTCATTTAAATTTAGGAATTTTAATAACAGGAGACCACCAATGCACTCTTACTAATGGTTAAAATTGTCTGTTGGCATTTTGAGTTGTGTTCACTTAGTCCCTCTTGGAGGTTATTGAGGAAAAACAATTTGTGGACAAGCTTTCAATAGAACAAAGAGTCTACATTTTCAGCTCTGCCCACGATTTTAGGCCCTGGTGCCTCTGATCATCAGTTGACTTTAGCTTTGCTCCTGACTCACTAGATGTTAAGTACTCAAGGGATTAAATTCTAGTCCTTTGGGTTCTGTACACAAATAGGCTAATTTGGTCTAGTAATCAAATGAGATTTGTTTTACAAGTAGATAGTGGCACAATTACTGAAACTAAACACAGATAGAGGAGAGAGTTGCCAAGCCAAAAAGAGTGTCAGTGTTTTAGAAGAAGGAGATAAAGACTATAATAGGGTATCCACTATGAATGAGAGAAACATCTGCCCAATTCTAGGAAGTCTTTGGCTAAAATTTTTCTGTTAAAGACAGACATCTTATGAAGTGCAATGATAAACCCTATTTTAATTCCCACCTTTTTTTTTCCAAACAAAAATATCTAAAGCTTAATTCATCAATATAGAGACCCCCAGAAGAGTTCACAAAAAGAAATAATTCATCCAAAAAATAAAAAATTGGAGAAATATAAACAATTCCTCTTTTCATTCTAATGTATTTTCTAATATATTGTATTTTTCTAATTTATGCCCACTTCTCATAACTGTTTGAGGGGGTAAGAGAGGTTATATTTTATTATTTTGTACATAGATCTAATATAGATGCTAGATAATTTCATGTTAATTTATTCCATGTTATTAGCCTAGCACTAGGTATATTGGGGGATTTGTAAAATAAGATAAAATTCTATAATAGTGTAGTTTATAAATACAAAAGTAACATAGATAGTAATAAATGAAAAGCCTAATAGCATCAGTGATGTTTAACTTATGCATATTTCAAAGCATACATTTAAAAGATCCTTTTTGTATATAGTATGATTACAATGAATTAGAAAATAAGCAGAAACTAGGGTATATTGAGGTATTAATTCTTCCTAATTTCTCCCTACATTCTAGGAATTTTTAAGTGATTATGTTTTATACTATGAAAATGCACTCTAAATATGTATTTTAGCTTCTTAAGGGGGAAACTTTAAAGAAACCTGCTAACATTTTTAAATCACAACCAACAACTATCCAAGTATCTATGGAGATCTGGCTGGAAACTTTTCGTCTTTGGTGATTTCAATTAACTGTTCTTGTTCTCTAATAGGCTTTACTTAATATTTTTAAGAGGTGTTTTATTAAAACCCCCTTACAGTTTTCTTTTGGGTGATTTTTAAGCAAGGTAGAAAATCCTGAATGTCAGAGTGTGTTTGCTTTAAATTTAAATGTGTCAGGTTTTTATAAATAACATGCTCAATTGTTCCTGAGAAATTTCATGGTAACAAAAAAATTCTCCAAATTTCATATTCAAAACTCTGTATAACATAATCTTTCTTCTTCCCCCAAAAGCATTTAC